GCGCTGTTGCGGAGGGAGCTGCCGCCGGTTCTGGCCATCCGAGCACCCTGGTGCCCCGGCCGCCAGAGCGCCGCTGTAGGGGCTATGCGAACATTGCTGCGAAGGGGGCTGTCCGAGCGGTGCTGTTGATGGGTCCATCGCCGAGGGGCTGCCGCTGGGGGGCTGCGTGAGAGCCGCTGGGGGCAGGGCCACCGTAGGGGCGCGCAAGATATGGTGAGGGAGAGAGGAGAGTAGAGGCGCGCAGGGTGCAACGCTTGTGGAAACAGAGAGAGAGGAGAGTTGGTGCATTAGGGTTTTGTTTCTCATTATATATTCAAGATTGGTGATGGGCTAATGTGGGTCTAGAGATTCTTAGTGGGCTAGGCCTTATTTGCTAAGGCGGGCATTTTAAAGTTTTGCCTCTGAAAATGGATTTATTGAGGCAGGGCTCTTAAGGCGTCCGCCTCCATAAATGGACTATTTTCGGAGGCGGGCATTTTCTAACCGCCTCCGTAAATAAAATGACCACTTTTGTAAATGCATTTTGCATGACGGTTAATTGTGACCGCCTCCGTAAATAAAAACATCTGCCTCCGGAAATCTTGTGGCATTTTGCGAGGCGGTTGGATTTTGAGACCGCCTCCGTTAATGTTTGGGCAGTGCCTCACAAAATCATTTTTGTAGTAATGCTCCTTTACGGATGGCATGGAGGAGATGAGAACTGTCTTCCTCCCACAAAGAAACTTCATCAGAAATGTGATCAAGGTACACCTATATAACCTCTTACATTATTAGAAAGTTTATTGGAAGCAGACATATACAGTCAGATTTGTCAAGCTTGGAGATAAAAATACAAAATTCTTTCACTCTATGGCAACTGAAAGATACAGGAAAAAATGCAGTAGCTTAGACTACAAATATTGATAACAGAATTGTGACAGACCACATTGAGAAGGCATCTCTTTTCTGGCAAGAGTTTAAAAGTAGGATGGGAGTGTCAGTCAACCCAACCATGCCTTTTGACTTTCAGAAACTATTTAACCTTACTGATTTAGATCTGATAAGGCCTTTCACAACTAAGGAAATGGATGAATTGCCAAAGAGCTCCCTACTGACAAGACACCTGGGCTAGATGGATATAGTGGCTTCTTTATCAAGAAGCGTTGGAACATAATCAAAGCTGACTTCTATGCAATGTGTTTGGACTTCTTCAATGACACAACCAACCTTCAATGTATCAACTATTCCTACATTACTCTAGTGCCAAAAAGGGAGAATTCTGAGAAAGTGACTAACTTCAGACCCATTTTCTTCTCAATTCTTCAATTAAGTTCAACACAAAAATCCTGGCCATCAGACTGCAGGAGGTTGTCTTAAAAGTAATTCATCGAAATCACTATGGCTTCCTCTCTGTGGTAGAACTGTTCAAGACTATGTTGCTTGGGCTTTTGAATATCTTCGTCAGTGCCATCACTCTAAGAGAGAGATTATTTTACTGAAACTAGATTTTGAGAAAGCATTTGATACAGTAGAATACTATGCATTTATTCAGGTTCTGATAGCAAAGGATTTTGCTCAAAGGTGGATCTCTTGGATACAGAATATCTTAGCTACTGGTGCTTCTTTTGTACCTCTTAATGATGTTCCTGGTAAGGACTTCAAATGTAAAGTGGTGGTGGTGGTGGGGGGGGGGGGAGGGGTAGGCAAGGTGATCAACTACTTTGTTGTTTGTGCTGGCAGCTGATCTCTACAGAGCATAATCTGTTGGAATGATCTCCTAACCAATAAGCCTAACGGCCTATTGGGCCTTGGTCACGTGCCCTGATCGGGGGCGCCCAACCCTACATGGTTGGTGGGCCCCCATCGCACTGCGCTATATAAAGTGGTGGGGGTCGGCGGCTCATTGTACGAGGTTCACCGTGAGCGAATACGCCCCACCAACAAACCCTAAGTCCGATCTAGTAAGGGCGCGCAGCCAGCGACGGGAAGACGCCACCGTCATCACCGTCGGCCTCACTGCACCCCACCGCGTCGACGGACTTCACCGACTCTTCTCCGACCATCGTTGCCTGTGCGCAGAACGTCACCGACAGAACGAGATGGCTGGATCCTCCTCGACAGCGCCCTCCGATGGTCTGTACATTCCCATCCACTCTCCTCTCTCTATCACTCTGTAGTACGGTTCATTAGGATTTCTACTTGTTCATCCCAAATACAAGAACCACCCGACCAGATGCTACTCTAGATGATCTTTGGGTCTAACATAATCAACAAGGCCTATAGACAAGGGCTTTTTGGGCTGCGTATTCCAAACATGGATATCAGTAACTTCTCAATTGTTCAATATGCTCATGACACACTCTTGTTCATGCAGGCAGATACTAGACAACCTTTTGCACTTAAAGCCCTTATAAACAATTTTGCTCTAATAGTAGGCCTCAAGGTCAACTATCAAAAATCATGTTTGGTCCCTCACAATGTACTAGAGCACAAGATACCTTTCTTGACAGGAGTTTCGGTTGTTCTCTTGAAAAGCAGCCCTTCACCTACCTTGGCCTGCCTCTTGGTACCACAAAGCCTTTGGTTAAGGACTATGCCCCCCCCCGCGCTTATCTGCCGCGTGAAGAGAAGATTATCAGCAAGCTTAGTTTTTCTTTCTTATTCAGGCCGACTCCTATTAATCAACTCAGTTGTTTCTTCTCTGCCAACATACTACATATGTGCTCTCAAGCTTCCGATGACAGCTATTGAAGTGATAGACAAATACATAAAATATTGTCTCTACAGAGGTAATGACATTAATGCAAAATGCTACAACCTTGCTGCCTGGGATATAGTTACTATGCCTAAGGATAAGGTGGACTTGGTGTCAGAAACCTTTATTTACATAATGATGCTCTTCTATTGAAGCACCTGGATTACTTTTACAATAGGGTAGATCTTACTTGGGTTTCTCTTATCTGGTGGACTTACTTCACTAACCCTGCAAAAGTGCCTCATTTATCAATGCCAAAGGGCTCTTTCTGGTGGAGAGATATCATGAAACTTAGCACTGTTTTTCGACGGATTGCTCATTGTACAGTTGGTAGGGGAGATACAGTCAGTCTTTGGGAGGATAGTTTCCTTAGCCAACCATTACTGTCAATCAACTACCTGTAGGGGAGATACAGTCAGTCTTTGGGAGGATAGTTTCCGTAGCCAACCATTATTGTCAACTACCTTCCCACGTCTGTTTGCTTATGCTAAGAATACCTCTCTTTCCTTCCATGGTGTAGCAAACACTGAGCACAGCTTGGACCTTTTTAATCTTCCCATGTCAAGAGTTGGCTTCAATGAGCTGCAAGGCTTTCAAGCTTCCTTGGGTGCAGTTGGCTTAGACAATCTGGAGCAAGATTCTTGGTATTATATCTGGAATGGGTTATAATCCTCCAGTAAATATTATTCTCACTAGTTCACTGCTCTCTCTCCACCTTCTCCTATGGTTTGGATTTGGAAATCCAAGTGCATACCTAGAATTAATTTTTTCACATGGCTACTCCTGAATGATAGGCACAACACAAGAAACATTCTCAGGAGAAGAAACAAATTTCTGCAAGAAGGATAGGGGGGCCGAAGTTGTCTTGGCTCGGTCTTACCTCGCGTTGGTCGGGGCGTGGGGACGATGACTTGGCCCAGGCGTGCTGCCTTGCCTTGATGGTGTCCAACACATCTCGATCTTCTCCGATCCAGTCGTGCACGGGCGGCCGGCATGGTTCGGGCTCGCCTCGCCGCTCGCGCTGAGGCTTGGCCCCCTTGTTCTCGATCGGTCGGAGCTGTCGCAGCTGCTGCTGTGCGGGGTGCGTGCACATCGAAGCGGTCCCCGTCTTGTGGCAGTGCTGTCTGAGATGTCCTTGAGGTGGCGTTGCGCAAGAACTACAACAACCAACACCAACAGGCCGAGCGAGCGAGCACCAGGCATGAGGAGGGTGAGCGAGACCCCTTTCATCCACGGCAACTGTCGACTGAATGGCCTCGGTCCGCTTCTCCGGTGGTAAATGGAAACCGTTCCAAAGCAAACCAAACAAATCGTGCTATTTGTTCCCCTGTAACACCGGCAGCCGATTACATTCCCATTGCCTATTCTATCATCGAACCAAACAACAGCTTAGGCCCTGTTAGGCATGGCTCCACTTCACCAATGAAGCCGTTATTTTTAACTTCAGGCCCACGAACAACTCTCTGGTAGAGCTAGAGCCATTTTGGTACCCCGTTTCGCAAAACATCTCTTTATGGTAGACAAAAGAGATGAAAAGACTATAATACCCTTCACTTTATTCTCTCGTTCCTTCTTCCCTGTTCGTTCACGCGAGCGCTCTTGCCCGGCAACTATGCCCTCCCTGCCCCCATGCCTGGCGCCCGGTGCTCGGCCCGCACGTGCTCACGCCCTCACGTCCCCGGCGGACGCCGCATGACCCTGGTCTCTTCTGTGGCCGCGCACGCCGTGCCGAGAGCCCCGGCAGCCGCGCACGCTTGCACCCCTGGCGGTCGTCTATCCAACCTCAACCTCTCCCGTGGCCACGTGTGCTCGCGTTGCGTGCTCCAGTGGCCACGCGCCCGTGCACCTGTTGACAAAGGCAAAACATGTTTCTCTCCCCTCTCCTGGATCCACGGGGGTGAGGTGAAGTCGGGTGAAGCCAATATTTTTGGCTCCATCCCATCCCAAACCTCAGGGGCTTCACTAGTGCAGCCGTTTCGTTTTACTACGTTTGGCAGAAACGGCTCCAAACGGCGCCCGAAGCCAGTGGAGAAGCCCCGCCAAACGGGGTCTTAGTTATTATTACAAGCTCTTGTTGTTTACATTCATACGAGCATTACAAACTTAGTTATTATCACAACATATTACCTGTGTACATATCCAGTACCGAAGTTTTCATACAGTACGTAGCATGCCTTATTAATGCATGCATGTAATTAATCTTCCATGCTTTATTCTGGAATTATGTGCATGGCCTGATATATATACTTTATCTGAAGATTTGTGTTCATGAAGTTGGGTAGGACGACATCGTGGAGATACCACAGGCGCCGACGCCCATCTGGAGCTGCATGTAACCGTTCTCACCCCAGCCTGTGCCCCACGAGTTCTTGAGGATCCAATACGGGGTTCCCTGGTCATCGGTGCCGTAGCCGATCGCTGTCACTGCATGGTTCATGTCCGTGCCACAGCCATTCCCATCGTATATGCCACCCTGGTAAAGCTGGAAAGGTCTCGATTCGCCGTCGATGCCAACAGACACCGGCTGGTTGGCAACTGCGTTGGCGAGCGCGTTCTCGTCGCCGCTGGGCAGGTCCTGGTAGCCGCTGATGGTGGCGGCTGGCTGGACGTTTTGGCACGTCCCTTCGGCTCCAGCGTAAGTGTATGCATCCTCGGTGGTGATGCCGCCATTGTTGACGACGTATTGGAAGGCGTTGTCCATGTAGCCACCGTTGCAGCCGTGGTTCCCGTCTGACTCGTCGCAGTCTAGAATCTGCTGCTCAGACAGGGAGATCAGGTTTCCTGTGGATATCTGGTTGATACCTTCCATGGCACCTACCGCAGAGAACGCCCAGCAACAGCCTGCAAATTGTTTTTACTTCGCTGCGTGAGAGGCCTTTATTTCATGATCCCAGTAACAATGAACATATATAACATACATGCCATTAGCCAGTTAGTTAATTAATAGTGATAGACGTGTATGCATGGTAGACGGAGTAGTTCATTTACCACATTGGCCTTGGTTCTTCACAGGAGTGACAGCACCCTGCTGCCTCCAGTCAACCTGGACATTGTCTTCTAGGCGCGTAAAATTCTGGTACCTGAAACCAGGCATCTTCTTGGCCCCGGATGACACCGGCTTCTTCAAACCGGTGTACAGAGCTGCGAACTCTTTGGTGGTCAAGTCGGCAAACTGGTTGGTCCCCAGGACATACTTCTTCTTGCCTCCAGAGTTGGACCTGTCAATAAACTCGGCGTTCGCCTTGAATACCTGGAAACGGTGTGCTTTCTCGGCGTCGTCCTTGTACTTGCGGCCATACTGCACCATCCACTTCTTGTACCTCGCCATCATTGCCTCATCTCCAGTAGTTTTGCCGACGGTGGCGGATGGCTCCTGGGCTGCGAGTACGTAGCAAACGCTGTCCGCAATGGCTATGACGGAGACGAGCAGCATTAGGGTTGTCATCATCATATGCTTGTTGCTAATGTTTGACTCCATGGTACTATTTCTTGAGTGCAGCTTGCTCGTTATCTTATGTTTTTGTGATTGATGTGAGAGTAGTGCAGGTGTTTGGAGCAGCTGTGGATTTCTTGGGCACAGGATGGCATGGCTTTATGTACAAGGCCTCGCAGCTACCGTACCTTCCAACATGCATTCTGCTAGCTGCCTGTGGTTTGCAATAAGCGACGTCGATAGCCATGAGTCCTCACGATGTTGACCACCACTAATAAGGCGCAAGTGGATACGGATAACAAACCTTTTCTTTGAGAAGCTAAGGTGGGGGAAACAGTTTCCTACATTTGCACAATAATGTCTCGGGCCTAACAGGATGTAGATCATACAACACAAAAGCCCTATTGCTAAATAAGCTTCCCATATTGTTAGCTAACAATTACACTCCATAAGTCCACCTCCCAGTGCACGGCACACTTTGTTTAATTTGTATCACCCCTGTACTCTGTTTTCGGTAGAAGTAATTTACATTTGAAAATTGTCTGGATAAAGATGCATGTGATATTCTTCGTGCGAAAAAGGTATATCAATTTATCGTTTCCATAAATTTAAGCCCAACATAGAACTCTTCCAGGGCTCCTTTCTTAATTGCATGACCTACGACATCCGTAAACCAACACCGAGTCATATGCCAAAAAAAACAAAAAAAAATTCTAGCTTTGTTTATAACTAGAACAATGTTTAATTTATTTTGGTTCCAAAATCCTCATCTACTATGGTACACAGGCGTGAGAATAACTCTGAACCAGCAGATCGAGACAACAGACACAACAGCTTACTCTCTGCAATACATAATCCTTTCAATAACTGTTCATAGAGTGGTCCAGACGTCTTCCACAACCATCTCCCTGTCCATCAAGTTGGCCATAATAACACAAGGATTCAACTTAGCACTTCCATGCTCGTAGGTGGGAAGTGAACCATCCACCACTCGCGTGTGCTGTGGACTGTGGTGCTGGATGTCCCAATAAATTGGATTTGATCTGTTCTTTAACATATTGATCAACGATGGAGATAGCAGTTGAGTTGAATAAATCGAAAGTTTAACTTAGAAACAATTTTTATTTATACTGTCGAACTGAAACGCAATTTAAAAATGCTAATTCCAGAGCCAATAGTTAAAGAACAATGACCGTGCTGGGTGTCAGATTTGTGTGTTGTTTGTTGTCCTTCTCTGTTTTCAACTTAGCATAAATTTGTTGTTATTGGGTATCAATCTTTGGGATCACTAGGTCTGCAGAAATGAGATAACCTTGTGAACTAGTATGATATGAAACAGTGTAGTGGAATATTCTAGGTCCGTTTTGATTCATCATCATGACCAAATGTTAGTTTTGTGCCATGGTGGTTAGCGGAGGAATGGTGCATTGAGGTGATAGACAAGGTATGGGTGTTGGCATTGTTAGGTTTGCCCACTAAAACTCTTTTTGCAGTCTTCTAAACTTCCAAGGTGGTACAAAACCCACCAACTACAACTCCTCATGTGCCATATGGTCCAACAACATAACTACTACAGGCTTCTAACGGGCTGGGGTGTTACATCTACCTTGCTAGGTTAGTTGATAGGATTGGAACGAAGGTTATATAACTCTTTTGCATTAGAGATAGCAACACTTTTCAAAATCATAGTGCACATCTAGAAACAGTCTTGCATATGTTTTGATAAGTAGGTTTTAGTTGCCCATTAGCTTTTAAGTTGCCTAACTCGCCCTCCTCTTAGGCATTATGGTCCCTTCAAATGGTATCAAATTCAGTTGGATCAGTTTGGACCTTAGGCTTTATGGTTGTTGAGCTATATGCTACTTTGAGTGGGTAGGATGGATACCGGTAGCCCCTTCACTTTGACGACACGAACTCTACCTATTGGTATACTAGAGTGGCTTGTTACCTAGAATCAGTTGATCTAGGTGTTTGGAGAGCCATCAGTTAAGGATAAAACCCCTAAAGAATCCAGATAACTAGTGATGAGAAGAAGATCCACCTCAACGCTCGTGCAAGAAATTGCCTCTGTGAGTCAGTTAGCAGTGATGTGTTCAATCAAGTGTCCATACTCACTAAAGCTAATAAAGTTTGGATACAATTGCAAGAGCTTCACGACAGGTCTAGCAACGTTTGTGAACAAATATATTGTTGGGTTAAACAAACCTTTGATTCTTTTGCTATGTTGACAAATGAGCTTGTAAAAGACATGTATTGTCATTTGAATCTAACTTTCAATGAGCTCAAAGCACTACACCACAACCCCAAAATACCATCTAACGTTTGTTGCTAAAAGTTAATAATTACAGTTAAACGGTTAGTCGCTAAAAATTTTCCTCATATTGTCAGTCTCTAATATCGAATACTTCGATGGATGGTCCGTTGCTATAAATATTTTAATTTTGCTTTGAGTTATCAGTTGCTATATAGCACTAACTGAGTCGAAAAGTCTGTCGCTAAATACAATTATCCATTGGCGTGATGTTTTCAGCCCGCTCCCACGAAATTTTGGCCCAAAAACTCACATGTAAACCCTAAGTCACCACACCAAGCCTACCAAAACAAAATACACACACCTCTCTTTCTTTCTGCTCCCGCTACCCGTTCACACGCGTGCTGCCTCCACACCCCGCCGCCCGCCCGCCTGCCCCCACCAGCCTCCCGCCGGTGAACGTCGGGCCCCGCCGCTCGCCTACCCCTCGACGTCTACCTCCCCGCCTGCTGGACACGTTCGCCCCCGTCGCCCACCCGAACGCCTGCTGCTGCCACATCCATGTCTCGCCCCCTGGGCCGGACAGACGCCGCCACCACCCCGCAACCTAGGTGTGGGACATAGTCCCTAGGTACCCTGCAAGGAAGCGAGAAGATCTAGCCTAGTAGGACTGCTACCTTGTAATCCTACTAGGACTCCTACATTGTAACCGACTAGGAAACTTGCCCCCTAAACTATATAAAGGAGGGCAGGGCTCCCTAGATCGGCAAAGACAAGAGACGCATCATCAGATGCAACACCTTGGAGAGACAGTGGCAGATGTACAACACATCTCATACATAACAATTCAACGCAAGGCCTCACGCCTAACTGGACGTAGGGTATTACGCTATTCAGCGGCCTGAACAAGTATAAATCGTTGTCTCTGCGTTCACCAACTAGGAGACTTGCCCACTTGTTCGCTGTCTCTACATGTGTCAAAGCCCTCCGAACAATCATCCCGGGTAACCCCATGATGAGTTGTTGGTCATCAAACACTGACACCAAGCGCCCAGGCCATACGGCCACCACCGCCACCATGCCAGAAGCCTATTAGCAACTCCAAAGCAGTTGTTGTTTTAAGGTTGTGGTGTAGTGATGCTATAGGTATGACCAAGCTGAGCATTGTGAATGTGGCGAGTAAGATCACCTTGGTGCTACCCACAATAATGATGCCTCCATCATCACTACCCCCCATAATATGGAGGAGTTGAGCACCATGACCCCTACACTTGTCATCGACAAGGTTGTGGCATTTGAAATGTCACAGAAGATGGGTCAAGAAGCCTGTTTATCAAGCAGGCAAAGTGTTTTTCTCATATGTACGAGATGAGCACAAGAAGATGAAGAAGGGCAAGAAGATTGAATCAAACTCAAGTTCAAATCTGGAAGATGATGATGATCAAGAGCAAGCTTCCACCACCTCTTAGTATGGTGATGAAGAAGCCATGCAATTGATTAGACGAATGAAGATGATGATGGGCAAGATCCGGTCCAAGGCCATGCCCATTACAATAGATGATTTCATGTTCATCGAGCAAAGAAGAAGGCAAAGGAAGAATGACTGCTTTAGTTGCAGTGAGATTAGGGCACTTTATTTATGGAGGATTGTCCAAACAATCACAGGACCAACGACAATAAGATGGGAATGAAAGGAAAAGGCTAAACCCTTTTTCTCAGAAAAAGGCTAAGCCTCACAACAATCAATACTTGGGATGACACCTCAAGTGAGGATGAAGCCCAACACAAGAGGTGTGGATGCAAGTCATCATCGGGCTCTTCACACGTTTGCCTCATGGCGAAAGGTATAGTTGGAAGAGAAAGCAAGAGCGATGAAAGTAACAATGATGATTAATTGTCCCTCTTATGATGATCTTGTTAATCTTATGGAACACTATCAAAAAACTTTGCACAAAGCAACAACGTAAAATCGAAGAACTAAAACAAAAGTTAGCTAGCTCAATTAAAATCTATGATGAACTAGGAAGCAATTTTGACAAACTTGTGGATTATAATGTTGAGGTAGCTAGTAAACTTAAAAAACTTGAAGCTAGTGCAAGTACCCCCATAATGGCATCTAAAAGATCACTTTTTGACCTAATTCAAGAGGATGCCTCTACTTCTTGCATTGATTTTATTGATATGGACTCAGCCATGTGCATCAAGTCTCGTGTTGAGAGTTTCATTGTAGATTCATGCACCGATGATGTTGTAATGGAAAATGATGTCCTTAAGAAAGAACTTGATCACCTCACCAAGGACTTGATCAAGTTAAAAGGCAAGAAGGAGGAAGTCCAATGTCATCAAGATATATAACACCTCCAAGGGTGTGTGAAGAAGCTTTATGAGGGAGCAACTGTGAAATGCTATTCATACCACCAACAAGGCCACATGTCTAATGAGTGAAAGGTGAAGAAAGTGGGAGAAATGAAGAAAAATAAAAAAACAAAAGAAGCAAGCTCTCCAACACCTACACCAACCATGTTGCCAAGAAGAAGTCCGCTCCCTTTTTGCTTAAGTGGAAACAAGATAAAGTAGTGGCTTCCAAGGTCAACAAGCAAGCTAATAAGGAGTGTACAAAGCCTATTTGGGTGCCTAAGGACATCATATCAACAATGAAGGGCACCCAAAAGTTTTGTGTCCCATCGGAGAAGTAGAGTGCAATGACCATGTAGAATTTGGAGATTTGGTAAAATTGGAGCGTATATCAAGGGGTACACCAAATTGGATCAAGTTATTTGCAAAACAATTAGTG